ATTATTATTATTATTATTATTATTATTATTATTATTATTATTATTATTATTATTATTATTATTATTATTATTATTATTATTATTATTATTATTATTATTTCTATTTTTANCATTATTATTATAATTAGTAATAATAGCAGTGGCAACAATTACTATCGTTAGGCAAGTTTCACGAAAAAGGTTAAAGATTTATTCCATAAGGAATGAATCCTAAGTTCAAAAAACTTTAAAGAACATAATTTTAATCGACATCAAGAATAATGACAAAGAATTTCAATCCAAGTTATAATTAATGACTAAGATGATAACAAAGTTTACAAAGTGTTAATGACGATGGTAAAAGGAAATAATAGTCAAATGCATTTTAAAATTTTACAAACGCACATAAAAGGACATTAATTGTATTATTTCGTAGTCAGTAGTAAGTTCACCCAATTAAATTATCTTAAGTTCAAAAATTTGGTCAACAATAATGTGTTTCTTCGATATAAAGCAATTTTAAGGTGAAAAAAATAATTAATTTTGCATAATCCTTTTTGAAACATAACTCTCAAGCTAAAAAAAAAAAACAATATTTAAGGTGACAACAAAGTACAAAAGAAATGAGTTAAGGTGACAAAATGAAATGATGCTATTTCGAAAAAAAAAAAAAATCCTCAAAGTTTCTCACTTCCTGTCGTTCATCAAATTAGAATTTTTTTCCAGTTTTTTTTTCTTTAGATAAAGTGCTTTTGTACTGAAAAATAATTTGACAAATAAAAAAAACAAAAATGTGCCGAAAAGTTACTGAATTAAGTGAAGTATAGAAGTCATAAAGGAAACAATAAATGTAATTAATTATAATTAACAATTGTAATTAATCCTGCCAATACCTTCATTAACAGTAGTAAAAATATTATTAAAAATGTGATAGCAATCGTACGTGACTGTGACTGTGACTGTGACACATTTCGATCTATCAAAACGTATATTACTCATAAATTAGGTCATGCAATACATTTCACATGTTACATAAGTTAGATAATGTATGCAATATTCTATTCCTATAAGATTGGTCATTTGATGCTATTTTGCTTTACTCTTTCAAACATCCAATATGTTACGTTAAGCCTTGTTGAAAATGTAATATTTATATAAACAAACAGAGCATAAAAAGTATTAGGCTGGTGATATAAACTAGGCCATTAATGAAATGGTGCCAAGAATTACTACTTACCAATGATCCATAAAGCGTAATGATAAGGATTACAACAAGAAACGGTAGCATTATTCATTGTGACACGACCAAATCTACACCATGGTAATGGATCTAACCTATGTAATGCAGCATCTACCTATAACAGTTATTAATTAATACTAATTATTATATGATAATTTATTATGAAATCAATAAAATACGTAACTCTACTTTGGTAGAAGATAAAAGTAACTTTAATTTAATATTACTATACGTGAAAATGAACAAAATAAAAAGTTTATAACCTATAAAATACATTAATTAAATGAAGAAATTAAAATTGAAATGAAAATTTTCAAATATCAAATGATGAAACGATTTTTTTTTCGTTTCAGATAGTTAAGTAAATAATTCGTTAAAATTTAAAATGAAAAATTTATAAATGAAATAAAAAAGTTTATTTAATTTCAAATTTTACAATTTAAAAATTGCATAATTATTTTGAAATTATCGCATTATTTTTAATATAAGACAAAAAATAATTATTAATATTAATTAAGGTATGATAGTTTCACCTGTAATTCTTTCCATCGCCATAATTTGCAACAGAGATAAGGTATAGACATAGGCTTATCAATTTGTGGTATCAAACCGGTATTTTCATAACGATGATCCAGGAAACCTTCATCATCATCCGTTTCAGCAACATCACGTGAGCAACCCGGTATCTCTTCAATGATATCCATTGGCGGTCCGGGAGCACACTGTTTGATATCTCGACCACCACTTTCCACTGCCTTTATGGATAAAATGATAAAAGTTCGATTAAAAAGCAAATCTAAATTTTAAATTTGTTAATACTAAGTAATAAAGTTTTGCATACAAAGCTTAATTAATTAAGCTTAGTTAGCATAAATATCGAAGTTAATAAGTGTTACAGGCTAATATATCATCTAGTAATTAAGAAATGAAATTTGAAACTTGATATACATTCAAAAAGAGCATTTTAAATTTAAAATTAAAGAAAACCGGAAGGAAAGAAATGCGCTTGCCTTTTCTTTAATATCTTGTTATGACAGAGAATATTAAATCGATATTAAAATTTAAAAATAAAGTATTGAAATTTCAATTCATTAAAGTTTATAAATATTCAAATTCGAAAAAAGGAAAAAAGAAAATTTCTTAATTAACCATGAAAACCTTTAGGATAGCGGCAAGATCTTCGGTATCAAAAGCGTGCAATAAACGATTGAAACGTCTCCTTGAGCGTTTCTCGTCAGATGATCGAATGGTGCGTAACCTCCAAAGTCTGAAAAAAAATTTTTTGATTTTTCAAAATTCATTTAAATTTTGAATTTGACCAAATAATTCATTTCATTTCATTTCGTTTCACTTCACTTCATTTCATTTCATTTTATTCCATTTCATTTCATTTCATTCCATTTCATTTCATTTCACTTCATTTCATTTCATCTTATCAAACGATTAAATATAAAAATTGCTATTTTAGATATACTTGCTATTGAGGCATATGATAGGATTGATATCATTTTAGGAAATTATCAGCTGATTTCAAATGAACTATTACGAGACACTTCATAGGAGAGATAATTGATAATCTGTCTTATCATGTATTTGAGTAATATTAGCGTGTAAATATATTAGCGATAGATTGAAATTATTTCAATTAATAGAAAAATCAAGGATTGGATTGAAATTATTTCAATTATTTCAATTTCAATTAATTTCAATTAATAGTTTCAATTAATGAAAAAGATCAAAGATCAGATAGCAAAAATCCAAAAATAAATTAGAAAGGAAACTAGAGGAACAGATTGATTAACTGTTAACATTACAATTTATCATACAAGAGAAG